AGAGTGGTGCAGAGTGACCACCCTGCCAGTTTTGCAGAACTTTCCAAAGGCTGCTGTTTCCCATGGACAGCCCTGTGCGCTAGGCTGACTAGGAACATGAAGCATTTTGTTATCAGAGAAGATACCCTGCTCTGCTGAAGATCTGTCAAAGATAAACACTGAAAACTTTAAAGCTCTCTGGACAGAAGCTCAATGAAAGCAACAGTTTCTGCAGTAGGTTTGAACTAAACTTTCTGCATGAATGATTTGTCCTCAGTTTGATTGTGAACCTCGTACTCATGTTGTCAAGTGGCTCAGCAGCATCAGATCATTTCTGTGAACAGCTGCTCATGAATGCAGAAGGTGGATTCAGTTTTTCCACTTTGTCGTTAAAGCCAAATGTGAAAGAGGTTGTGAGGACTGTGCTGTACTTGAAACCATATACACTACATTCCACTTTGTGGTGCCTAATCTGTATGGAACCAGGCAAATTATCAATTAGGAATTACAATAATTTTCAAAATGTTTTGAGAAACAAAGCAAGAAATACATCAATCTACAGACCATATTTTTTATCAGCTAGCAGTAAAAGCTATAGCAGAACTCATTACAATTTACTGCGACATGGAAAGCAAGAGCATTTTCACTCATCTCATGAAAAGCAGAAGTAGCCATTATTTTTCAATTCTCTACTATTCTGTGGGCCATTTTCAAAACAGCTAAGCAGGCATGGAATTCAGGCTGTAATTGTCACAGGGACCCCAAGTGAGTTAACGGCCTAATCTTTATTGAAAATTCTGGTCTTAACTTTGAGTTGCAAATAGCAGTAACTGCTCCCATAATCAAATACCATAGTCAGTGATCCTTCAGTGGTTCTATTCCTTAAACTGGCTTACGTTACTCAGTTTGATGTTTTGAAAAGGAAAAAAAAGCACATTATAGTGGTTATGTTCTTCCATTTGTGGGCATTAAATAGTGACTCCATAGCTCTGCCATAAATCAGAAAAAATGCATACATCTGAACAAAAAACCTACTGAAAAAATAATGTATTACAGCTGCAAAAAAGTAAATATGGACTTTTTTTTTTCCTTTGCCTCCAGAAGTATCATCACAGTATAAATAAATACAGACGCTAATGCCAGAAGGATTATGCAAGTTAGAACTGGTACAAGACTGTGCATTTTATTAGCACAATTTACATTCTAACAGGGTCCAATCTGGTATTGAGAAATATAAGGAGTATCCAGCCTCTGACAGCACAGGACCCTGCTGCTTTCTCTTTGTCACAATATAATTAAGGTTAACCCTATCAGTACTCCATGGAACTCTCATAAATGCATATAGAGCCCCACATAGAAATGACCAACTTAAGAAAATGTCAAATGTTACTCTGTATTAATGGAATCAAAATAAAACACATTAAATAGAATATTCAAGCTACAGATGGGCAGCCATTCACATAACCAACCATTCATATGACTCTAGCAATGTCACTGGAGTTTAGACTGCTTCAAATAGGGACATCAGTTCAGCCTGAATAAATAGTGCTCTCAGTGCAATAACCTGCCTTAGTTCTCATAATCACACAAACTCTGTTCAATGCCCACATCTCTTAGGCTGATGTTCCTGCCCTCAAAAAGATATAAAGTCATGCCTTAGGACTTTACATTTGAACATGTACAAACGAAAATAAGCTCCCAAGTACCTCGGGTGCCATTTTGAGCTGAAGACAGCCTATGAATCAGTCACCCTGCTGCCTTGAGAACAGCCAGCACAAAATAGAAGTGCTGTATTTTTTTCCTGACAACCACCCCGTAGGAATGTATTTCCTCATCCTATTCCCACACAGGCCACATTTCACTTCTGCAGAATTCCAGAGATTCATATTTTGCAATGTAAGGACAGCCAGGAAAGTTGGAGGAAATGCGAACAAGGTATGAACTCAGGCCCTGCCAAAGAGATGCACAGTGCAGCTCAAAGCAGCAGCACATTACCCCTATTACCAGCTCAGGAGCCCATGAGTCGTGTCCACATGCACCTGGATGCACACCCACCCTGTGGCTGATACCTGCACCCTGCAGTGTAGGCAGCAGCTTGCTACTGTGACCATTCCACAGCAGAAGGCACAAAATGGACATCATTCACTGCAAAAGTACTATTAAGTCAGCTGCATTACCCAGCTCTGCTGCCAGCACAGCTCAATCTCTCACATCCCCTGCCATCAGACAAAGCACCAAGAGCTCTAAAATTAGAATCAGCCCCAGCTGCCTGCAGAGTCTTAGGGAACTGTCTTGGCTCCTGCCTCTCCACCTAAGTAGGGCAGTAATGCTGTCCTGCTTCATGGAAAGAGGAGAGTATTAATTCAACTTTGTGACACTTGACAAAGCAGGAGTAAATGAAAACTGCAAGGGGATCCATTGTTGACCTTTCTCAAGCCAGGAACAGAAATTAACAATTGGCCCCATTTTATCCTGGAAATAATTTTATATGTATATACACTCCTAATTAACAGAAGGCTACCAGGTACTTGAAAAAAAATGCTGATTTTATATATATATACACATATATATGAATGATACAGGAGTCCACCAAGTCTTAATCTTCAGAGTCCTTTTCTGCTTTTGCACACAAAACTAATGTTACTTTCTTCTGATGTGCAAGAGTTAGCGTAGACTGCTCCTTTGCTGATTTTTTAGGGAATTGCATCAACTGAATTATGTGGTGGACTTGTCTGGCTTAGTTACTTCCCCATACCAGCACACATGGCAATACTGTTCTTCACGTCAGAAAAGCCAGCACACAAATTCAAAGCATGCTGTATGAAAACATTTGTTTTAGGTTGCTGATGTTTTATTTATTCTGTTGGCAGGACTGTAAGTGTAATAAGGAGACAAAGTATTGATTTCCTCAGTATAAAACCATGCATATAGAGCCGTACAGAAACATTAAGAGCCTCTAATTTGATCATCTACAATACACAGATTACAGCTATTTCTCAACTCAGTAAAACTGCACTTGAACTGGAGCCTGTATTTTAGACTATATTTAGATCTTACAGACAACTAGACTGTATCTCCTGCATCAACCTAAAGTGCATGACTCAGAGGAAAGTTAAAATCCGTGATCTCTTTATTAAGAACAAAGAAAACCACTGTAAACCAACAGGCTGAAGGAGGGAGGGAATCATCCCCGACACCTTTTCACCTGTGAAAAGTGAAGACCAACATTCTCAGAGAGACACTTACCAATGTAACATTTTCTTTCCTACATACCCATGCATTTATCAAACGATCAGACTCAACAGCAGCCAGCAACAGGGAATTCTACATGACGATGATGCAGAACATAAGAAACATCTACCTTTTAAATCCACTCTTTAATATTTTTGAGTATTCTGCATTTGGGACAAGTTTTTAGCATGTCATTATTTTAGAAACTGCTATCATTTATCTTCTTAAGATAATTTAAGCAGAGGATGTCTTTCCTTTCCCAAATTGAATCAGGGTAGTCTCCATAATTCCTCTTCATACTGCTGTCTCCCACCTTTTTAGGACTTCTGTTTGCTTAAACAAAACTCAATATTTAATTTACAATGAGGCGATTTACACAACGATGTGGTAATTTTTCCAACTGCTTCCATTTCTAAATATAGCCAAGTGTATGAGGGTTTTGGAGGCCCATTGCATATTAAGTAGATGCCTTTATTAAGCTGTCATGTATGACGTGTAGATCTTTCTCCCAAGAGGTTACCGGTAATTCAGAGCCCAGTAATGCATACAAGTAATTTTAAATTGTCCCTTCTACTTCAATTATTTTGCAAGTTAATTTCATGTTCTAGCTACAGCATGCTGTGTGGCAATCTAGCTCTTTTCAGTCCTTCAGAAGTGTGCCTGACAACCACTCACAGTGTTCATTCATTAATTCAGAGCCTTTCTAGAAAGTAGTGCTGACATCTTACCCACTCTTCATCCAGGTTATTGCTAAACACACTGAATATGACTACGTCTACTGCTAATATTCATTTTACTCTGATATCTTGTGCAGTTATTTTTTAATTTTTATTTAGTTTTTGGTATTTTGTCTTTCCATTCCAGAAGCAGCTGTTTATCGGTCACATACCTGATGACCTAATCCATGGCAAAATTTTTGTGATTTTCAAGCTCCCTTAGTCTTCAGTTGTAATATACTTTGACAATTTCAATTGAATTGGCAGGTTATGCCCTTGTTTTGGCTTTGTTTGTGTAGCTTTTGCTTTTGTCCTTTTTTTTTAAGAAAAGTTGTTTTAAAATAAAGGTAAATTAAAGTAAAGATAGTTCAGAGAGGCAATCTTGCCCTTATGACAGAATACAAAGCACAGGAACAAAGGTCAAACTTAAGTGAAGTTTGAAACCACAAACAAAACCTTTGTTCATTAAACTTTTATGCATTTATCTTGCCTTTCCACTAGAATCCAAATACACATGTGCTGAAAGAAGCAACTTGGAAAGATAATGAATTGTGTGCCTTTGCCTGTGCTAAGGACACCTCCTTTGCTACAGCATTAATGTGGCTCTTATATTATAAACATACTTAAAAAACAATCCTATTCAGTCTGGTGGGTGTCTCTTCCTACATGCTCCTAGTCAGGCTCAATGACTGCTTTGCTTTTCTGTCATTTATTTTTTCTTATTTCGTTAGGGGTTTTTTTGTTGGGTTTTGTTCTGGTTTTTTTTTGTTTGTTTTTGTGGGTTTTGTTTTGGTTTGTTGTTTTTTTTGGGGGGTGGGGGGGTTGGTTTTGTTTTTTTAATGGCAGATGCACTTGGCAATATCTGTGACCTTGAGCTGTACACATGAGCAAGCAAGAGATCCCAGTCCTGCAAAGCTGTTTATGTATTCTGAGAGAGCTCCTTCTGAGAGGGGTGTCTCAAGGAAGACAGAAGCATGATGTGCATACCAAGTCATGGGCTTCATGATTTATTTATAGGGAAAAGGGGCATAAAAATTTGCTGAAGGGGAAAGAAAAATTAAGAATCTGACTTACCTTGTCAGTGTAGACGAAGAACAGAATCACAACAGTGAGCTCCAACAGAAATATAATTAACAGCATGATAAAAAACTGTCAAGAGAAAAAGGGACAGGGGACAAAACAAAAAGCAAAAACCATCAACAACTATTTCAGCTTTTTCTGGATGCACAATAAGTACATTCAGCAGACCATGCAAAATGGGGAGTGGGAGTCATACAGGCAGCAAGATGCAAAGCTGCGGTGTTACAGAACAGAAGGCACCACAACATGCAGCAACTGAAAAAGCAGGTAAAGGACCAGTCAGGAAACACAACAGTACGTGGGCATACATATGGGTCATTTATATAATTGACTTCAGTAGAACAGCATAAAACACCAGAAAGATCTGTCCCCCCAGCAGGCCAGTGCTCTATTAGACAGGAACCCTTGAGGACTCTTCCCAGGCTAGGTTTTCTTTATCTTCTTCCCCGTCAGATCATTCCAATTATCAATATCAGCAAAATCCACGGCTTAGACTTCCCATTGCAAGAGAAGGTAGCCTGATCCATAAACCGTAGTCATAGCTCCTTTCAAGGGAAATTGTGGAAGAAGTGAAAGGCACACCAACGTAGTACACCAGGTAGCTTTTGTGTAGCTACACAAATCAGCATGGGTTTCAACTGAAAGAGGCTGATTCGTAGTGAAGACATCAAAGCCAGTCCATCTCTTTCTCCTCATAAGCTATGGAACCAGCTAAACCCCAGTAATCAAAAGCTCAAAGGAGTGGATATAAACTTTTAACACAGTAATTTCACACAGATTCTCTAAAGCTCTCACCTCTAATCAACTTCAGCAAGAGAACTCCTGACAACACCAAACACGTCTGAAAACCTGCCTTTTGTTAAGATGCTAGATGGATCTGTGGCACAGCTCTGCAGCAGCATCAGCACAGCACTTGCACAGACTTTAGAACAAGCACTATCAGAGCATTAAATGAAACTGAGTTTTGCAAAGATGAGTGAAGAAGAGAACTTTTTAGGCTCAGGTAAAGGTCCCGCTCCCTATAACACAAACTCCATACACTTAACCTGTAAGGCTGGAATTCTAATACTGAGCAACACTGATTTAATTGAAATCCTATCCCCAAGAGAGAAAAAATAGTTACAGTCTTGTTGAATTCAGCCACAAAGCTGCAAACCTATGAATGTTTAATAGCTACAAAGCCTTATCAAAGCTTCTTCAGTGCCTGGTAGGTCAAACCCAAACCTTTGAACTGATGGATTTCTGCAATTGAATGGAAGGCAAAAGGTCAAGAAGGGGAAAATACTTTTCTCCACTAGTACAATTACACCGTCTACAGAACTCATTGCATTTTGCCCTGCACATCTGAAATTAAAGTTTATTTTCAAATCTTCAGCACTAGTATCTTCACACCTGCTTGACCCTAATACTGGATCCTATTACTGCCCAGTTTTGAATCACAGAACTCATTCATGCTACTGATCAAAGCTTATTTCCATATCATTACCATCAAACACTGACCTTCTGTATGGCTTTGCAAACCATCCTTGATGCAACTTGTTTATTTTTTACATTTACAATTTTAGCCTGCTGCACAGCATCAATTTAAACAGGACAAAGCATATCACTCATTGCAAAGATGCTCAAACACCTTGCTATATTTTATTTGGCTGTGAGGTACTTTTTTGTTCATCCATAAAGCATGGCTATTCTAAAATCTGCATACGAACTGCTGTCTCCCTGTGAAATGCACTGGCATAGTTTGGATTACATCAGGCAATTCCTAAAACAAATGAAGGACTCATACCCTTTATAAACTGTGATCAGCATTATTTCCTACCACAAAATCCCAATTTCATCAGCTTATAATATTGCCAAACTTTAATTATCTATGCTTATATATTCTGAGCTTGTTTCTGTCTAAAGGATAAAAGCTTTTGGAAGAACTTCAAAAACAGCACTCAATTACTTCTAAGAATGAATCAGGGCAAAGAATGTTATTCTGCCCAAGTTAAAAATCTGGTGGCTTAATTTGAAATCCTCTCACACTCCAGTGTTCAGAGCAGGGACCTGAAACAAAGTACAGCTCTATTCCAGGCACGTGCCTTTTGTCTTACCCAACTATGAGTGGATTTTTGTGCAAAAGTTATTAGCCTTCAAAAGACTGCATTTCACACATCCACTACAGATGAGAGGGCTCAACAGCTGAAACCTTCAAAGTCTACAACCACAAAAAGCCTACTCATATCCTTCCTGCAGCTCATACATGAAAAGACAACTCACAAACCACCCCACAGAGCATCTTCCCTGCTCCTGTGGTGCCCGCACACCCCTGTAATGCCTTACTGTCATCCCCTCAGAGCTGATGTCCTCCAGTCCTGCTTCACAGGACATGACCTGGACCAGAGGGTAGGCCAGGAACTGGTGTAAAATTCAGGGACCTGTTTTTCTTGTGCTCTCAAGAAAGCTTTTCCTCCCTTCTCTGCACTCAACAGCATGAAAACATTACAGATGAAGACAAGGAATAATGTTGCAGGAGAAAGGGGAGTCTAAGGAATCATAGAATAGTTAGGGTTGGAAAGGACCTTAAGGTCATCTAGTTCCAAACCCCCTGCATTGGGCAGGGACACCTCACACTAAACCATGTCACCCAAGCCTCTGTCCAACCAGGCCTTAAACACCGTCAGGGATGGAACATTCACAACTTCCCTGGGCAACCTATTCCAGTGCCTCAACACCCTTACAGTAAAAAACTTCCTCCTTATATCCAATCTAAACTTCCCCTGTTTAAGTTTTAACCCATTACCCCTTGTCCTATCACTACAGTTCCTAATGAAGAGTCCATGCCCAGCATCCCTATAGCCCCCTTCAGATACTGGAAGGCTGCTATGAGGTCTCCACGCAGCCTTCTCTTCTCCAGGCTGAACAGCCCCAACTTTCTCAGCCAATCTTCATATGGAAGGTGCTCCGGTCCCTTGATCATTCTCGTGGCCCTCCTCTGGACTTGTTCCAACAGTTCTATGTCCTTTTCATGTTGAGGACACCAGAACTGCACACAATACTCCAGGTCAGGTCTCACAAGAGCAGAGAAAAGGGGCAGGACCTGCTGGTCACACTCCTTTTGATGCAGCCCAGGATACGGTTGGTTTTCTGGGCTCCAAGCGCACACTGAAGCTGGCTCATGTTCATTTTCTCATCGACCAACACCCCCAAGTCCTTCTCCTCAGGGCTGCTCTGAATCTCTTCTCTGCCCAGCCTGTAGCTGTGCTTGGGATTGCTCTGACCCAGGTGTAGGACCTTGCACTTGGCATGGTTAAACTCCCTGAGGTTGGCATCAGCCCACCTCACAAGCGTGTCAAGGTCCCTCTGGATGGCATTCCTTCCCTCCAGCATATCAACTGAACCACACAGCTTGGTGACATCAGCAAACTTCCTGAGGGTCCACTCAATCCCACTGTCCATGTCAGCGACAAAGATGTTGAACAAGACCAGTCCCAACACTGATCCCTGAGGGACACCACTCGTTACTGGTCTCCAGCTGGACATTGAGCCATTGACCACAACTCTTTGTGTGCAGCCATCCAGCCAGTTCTTTATCCACTGAGTGGCCCATCCATCAAATTGATGTCTCTCCAATTTAGAGACAAGTTTGTCATGTGGGACAGTGTCAAACACTTTGCACAACTCCAGGTAGATGACATCAACTGCTCTACCCCTGTCCATCAGTTCCGTAGCTTCACCACAGAAGGCCCCCAGATTGGTCAGGCAGGATTTCCCCTTAGTGAAGCCATGCTGGCTGTCACCAAGCACCTTGCTGTTTTTCATGTGCCTCAGCATGTCTTCCAGGAGAATCTGCTCCAAGACTTTGCCAGGCACAGAGGTGAGACTGACTGGTCTGTAGTTCCCTGGGTCATCCATTTTCCCCTTCTTGAAAATGGGGGTTATAATTCCCTTTTTCCAGTTGTTGGGAACTTCACTTGACTGCCATGGTTTTTCAAATACGAAGAACATAAGGAAGAACATTTTTAACAGCATCTGGGAAATAGTTTGATTTAGGATGCAATCTGGCTACCAGTTTTAGACAAACTGGACCTCCTGACAGCCAACTGGGGCAGGAGACACCAGAGAGTAAGGCAAGGTCTGCACAGCAGCAGAGGATGCCTGTGCATATAGGCACCAAGGAGGAGCTGCACCTTTGAGAGGAAGGTAGCCTGGGGGGGATTCTATGCTGGAGCTGCAGAAAGGAAAAGAAAAAAGAGCAAGAAACAAAAGAGTGGCTGAAAAAGGAAATCACCCTGCACTGACCCCCGTGACTGAGTCTGGTGTGCAGGGAGTGGACTGGAGACTGGCAAGGAGGAAAGAAAGGTGGTTTTTCAAGTGTTTACTATTATTTCTCACCACCAGACTCAATAATTAAGAGTTTATGGAGGTGGATCTTCCAGCCAGACCATAATGGTGCTCCTACCTTCCTCCAGTTCATACTAGAGAAGTAGGTATGACACTGCATCATAAAAGATGCTAAAACTGTGAAGGCAAGCAATCAAAATTTAGTTAGAATAGAAATCCTCTCAGTGATTATTACATACCATGTTTAAGTCTTTCCCTACACAGGCTCAGAGGTTCCTCGAAGCTATTACTAGTGGGAATTTGGTTTCATGCACTGTAGATTTTGGAAGTCATACAGTGAACCAAAAGTAATGTATGCTGTTTAGAAACTCAAAACCTAGATAAGCAGGATTATGCTTTTTCTTCATAGATAAATATTTTTGGTTTTAAATAAAAACTCTAGTTTTTTCTTACTATTTGCATTCATCGACAAAATGTACACTATCACAGGTAATAAACACGTATTAGTAATTCCACTATGTGCATACAGTAGACACACGCTGTATCTTTTATTGCAAAGGTAAATTAGGTGAGGTCAACCTCAAGGTGGAGAGTTCAAATTCACCACCTAGTAAAAGCTACAAGCACTTACAGGTCAGCACATTTATAATCCCCCTCTAAAGAAGAACCCTACCTGAACCCAAATCGACAAATGGGAAAGTAAAAATTGAGTCTTCAGACTGAGCTGGCTGAGCTTGCATGCT